AGATAGATAGATAGATAGATAGATAAATAGATAGATAGATAGATAGATAGATAGATAAATAGATAGATAGATAGATAGATAGATAGATAAATAGATAGATAGATAGATAGATATATAGATATACATAGATAGATAGATAGATAGATAGATAAATAGATAGATAGATAGGTAGATAGATACATAGATAGATATATAGATAGATAGATAGATAGATAGATAGATAGATAGATAGATAGATAGATAGATAGATAGATAGATAGATAGGTAGATAGGTAGATAGGTAGATAGGTAGATAGATAGAGAGATAGATAGATAGATAGATAGATAGATAGATAAATAGATAGATAGATAGATAGATAGATAGATAGATAGATAGATAGATAGATAGATAGATAGATAGATAGATAGATAGATGTAGTACACAGATTATACGCGTCTCTACGGCATCATATAATGATTCCGCATTAGCTGCACATGCGAAACACATTAATGATCCACAAATTTATGTCTCGTATTGATAGTTATTATAATTATGGCGCTGCAAAACTCGCAATAGAGCTACAGTGCTATATATAGGCGGGTTACTTAGATACCAGAGTTCGTATATCTCTCTGGAGAAGGATAGATGGTGACGAGTTTTGATCATCTGTTCTGGTATACTAATTAATACTGAGCACACTGTATGAATGTGAACGCTCTAAAAACGATCTTAGAATGTTGGAATGACAAAATTTTGCCGTTAAAATAACAAGGTTTTTAGCAGGGAGGCTCCTTGGTCCAATGAATCTATTCTCCTCGGTGCGTGAATCTAATACTAACGCCTACGCGCTTACTCACCTACACGCACGCATATAATACTCGCCTACATTTTTCAGACCAATTTCACTAGAATTTTCAGACAAGGGGGTCGTGGGATTAGTGTTGAATATTTTAGTATAAATAGCTTCAGATGTATCAGCAGACATATCTGCGGTTATCTAACTCCTAGTAGTGTTGTATTAAAGAATAGTTCTAGCATAGTTTCCCTGACCCATCCGGAGATACATAATTACCTGTCGTTATAGTATGCATAATAGTGGATCAACATGTCCCACCTATGTTCAATCTTCAATTGAAGAGCCGCTCTACCAGTCTCAATCTCTATCGTGCTAGAGGCCGTTGCCAGAAACAAAATTAGCATTAACATTGAAATTAAAACATTACAATAAACATCAAAACATTAACCATTAAAAATAGCTCACGATGTTTCTGACAACGGCCCCCTGGTTTCGTAATTATCATATCACTATGAGAAACAGCTCCCGTTATAACTGTTCGTTCTAGAAAGTTCTAGAAAATGTGCGAATGGCTACTCCGATCACCAACACAGCTCTCAATGATACCTTCCATTAAGGAAGTCATTCAATCCCAAAGCTCAAGCGCTTTAACTCCTAGTTAAGTTGCCGAGTAAATTATTGTTTAACGACAGGAACTCATCACTCACTATCGAGTGACGAGTACGGTGAATCTGACGATATAGTGAACTTTCTGTCAATATATTATGTAGACATACGCATTATAGTATATTATACAGTAAGACATACACATTATACATATACATGCAAATCGTAATAATCCGCAGAATAGCTGGTTAAACGACATTTTCCGCGCATCGTGTCTATTTTGATGTTATTACAATTACTACTTACTACTACCGTGAGCCTACCGTAGAGTTCAATCAAAAACGCAAATGTTAATTGCCATAGTAGCAGGTTATGAGATATAGCTGGAGTTTCATTCATTTTCAAGATTGCCTAATTATAAAATCATTTTATATGCTGTGAAATGCTCTGGGTATGTAATTTGAAACCGAAAATTTCTACGAAATTCCCAAGATTCTTTACCACGACTCGTATGTTTGTATTTTGCAAATTTATTTTTGAATGGTGCGTTTAAGCACATGGCCTATATACATTATTAGCACTGTTATGATATGTGTGTATGTGTGAGTATATCAGTGCATATACGCGTGTGTCAACAGCTATACATTGAACAACTTGTCATGATATCGTGAAATGTAAATAAAAAGCTACAGTAACCTTGGTATACATTTAAAAAATTTAATTCTTGTATACGCACCTAATTTAAACGCACGCTATGTATATGCATGCAAATTATTCAACATGAAGACAATTAACCTAAACCGTGTAAAGAAATTTTCGGTACCCATATGAGCTATATGTATGTATATCACCTATGATGTGATGTAATTAACATAAGCAGGAAGCTAATTCTTCTTACATGTCACTAATGTCTTGTCGGGAACACGTGAATACTAAGATGGCGGCGATAAATCCAGCAAGTACATAGTAAACTGCTGTTTCGATCTACTTCAACCTATCATCAAAAACTATAACTAAAACGATAACTATGGGGGATTCTGTGCCTAATATATGAGAACTATAATATAATAATTGGGGTATAATATGTAATTAACCCAAGGAAACATCAATAAAAATAATAAAAATAATTATCGGAAGCACTAAGACAAGCGTGCCTTCGGGCAAGCTGACGCAATTACTGTTTCCTCAGCAACAATAGCAGAGAATTGATCGTTAATACTGTTACACTACCTAATATAATTATACTAGCAGGTAGGTAGGTAGGTAGGTAGGTAGGTAGGTAGGTAGGTAGGTAGGTAGGTAAGGTAGGTAGGTTAGGTAGGTAGGTGTAGGTAGGTAGGTAGGTAGGCCTACCTACTTACCTACCTACCTACCTACCTACCTACCTACCTGCCTACCTAACCATAAAATAAACTACCACCTACTTAGCTAAAATTTACCCTGCAGTCATCGCATCTCAAGCGCGCGTATAAACGATATGCGTGCGCTCATGGGAGAAATTGGAGTGCGTTAAACAACGGCAAATTGCCAACCAAGTACCGGCAAAGTTTACAGTTGATTCTATAGTCGAGCGAGTGCCCCGCACTCCCGTTTTTAGTAACATAATATGTTAAGGAGGCAGAGAAACGCGCCTCTCTTCTCTCGCTCAGCTCAGGCGGATGAGCAAAGCTTTAAATCTAATAACTAAATATAACTCGTTTTCCCGGAAGCAACCGTTAGTAAAAACAGCTTACAGCTAGCGCCTGGGATGAGTGATATATGTATATATATATATATACATAAACACAGTTTTAACAAGGTAGAATGTCAAGCATGTTCTGGATTTCCACTGGTTTAAATTTAGCCGAATTGCTTTCAAAATGACACCGTAAAATCAACGTCAGTATTGATAAAACATAGCATATGATGCGCTCTGACTGCGCTGTTAACTATAACGAATATATTCAACCGCGCAGTCGGGAAGTGGGTTGTAACCCACGCTGTTGTAAAATCCTAGCGTGTGTAGCGTAGTTTTTTTTTTTGTTTCCTCGCTTTCAAAAGACCTTTACATTCTTGCGTCGAATCGAGAGGATTCGGTTGGTATTTCTAGTCGTGGTTGACACCCGAGAAGCGATATACCAGCAAGGATACAGTGCTGACAATACCCACAGTAACCTTCTTGTCGTATTTCATTTTAGTTTTCAAGCTCGGTAGATTTATTATTCCGCCAGTTATCAGGACTCGTATGCTACGTCAGAGAAGCCACCGCATAACGACACACAGTATATATATATATATATATATATATATATATATATATATATATATAATA